CGGGTGTCCAGTAGAACTTGGTCTCCCACGGTGATGGTGTGTCAGTGCGGTGGCAATCGGCCTGGCGCTTCTATTGCTGCTGAATGTCAGAGGAGCTTGTGGGTCCGATTCCAAAGCTGACGCATGGTTGTGATGAAGTCGTGTGCGGATTGGACTGTAGCTGATGCTGTCGGTTTTTGTGGCGTGAGCGGGTGGCGTCCGTAACAGAGGAAGAACGGCGTTTGACTAGTAGCGGCGTGATGGCGTTGTTGGAGGCAAACTCCAGGACTGGCAGATGCAAGTCCCATTTAGAGATGTCGTCTTTGCATGCTGCGCGGAGAAGTTGCTCTACAATTTGGTTGAGGCGCTCGGTCTGTCCATCTGTCTGCGGATGGTACGCGAACGACGTGGTGATTTTGGTCCCGAGCAGAGACATTGGTTCCTTCCTGAACTTGCTGGTGAACTTGGGGTCTCGGTTGGAGATGAGTGTGGTTGGAATGCCATGTTGTGAGATGACGTAGCAAACGAATAGTTGTGCTGTTTCTTCAATGCGTGCTGTCGTGTGTGTCGGGATAAAGTGTCCCATTTTGGAGATTTTTTCGATGACGACGAGTATTGCGTCATGACCGCTAGTGGTAGTTGGTAACCCGGTGATGAAGTCCAGGCTAACCACTTGCCATGGCTGTTCAGGGACACGAAGAAGCTGTAGCAGTCCTGCTTTTTTTTGCTTGCTGTTCTTCATCCGCTGACATGTAGCACACGAGGTGACGAATTGTTGGACGTTGGCTGCCATGTGGGGCCATTAGTAGTGCTTTGCAATACCGGTCAGCGTCTTGTTGCTATCGAATTGTCCCGCGTAAAGGACATCGTGGTATTCTTCAAGTAGTAGCTGGCGCAAAGGAGGGCAATTGGGTACCCATATTTTCGTTTATCCCTTCCGGTATGCGATGTCACTGTCCCACTTTAGCAGGTGTTGTTTTGCTGCCAAAGGAATTTCGGGGTCGATGGCGTACCCGTGTGTGAAGAGTCCCTTGAGAAATGGGTTCATCCCTTCGATTTAGATTGCGGCAACGTGTGCAGGCCGGCTGACAGCGTGCGCTTTGTTTTTGTGGCTGGGCTTGTACACGATGTCATAGTGGAAGTGCGTCTCAAGGAAGTCAATCCACCGGACCGGCCACATGGAGAGGTTTGGTTGTGTCTTCAAATATTTCAGGCTGCAGTGGTCCGGGTAGATGGTTGTTTGTCGTCCTTCGAGATAACATCTCCACGTTTTGAAGGTGATGATAATAGCGAGGGCCTCTTTGTCGTGTATCGGGTAGTTTAGTTCTGCCCCGTGTAGCTACTTGCTGAGGTAGGCGATTGGTTGTAGTCCATTCCCCTGGTCTTGCATCAAGACTGCTCCCACTGCCTGGTCGCTAGCGTCAGCTTCGATGACGTAGTCGCGTTCGGGGTCCGGCAAGATGAGTACAGGCGTGGACGTGAGTGCTTGTTTTAGCTGCTCCATGGTTTTGGATGCTTTGGTTCCCACTTATAGGGCGTGTTCTTTCCAGCAGATTCGTACGTGGCATTGCGATTTTTGCGTACTGTGGCACGAACCTGTTGCAGTAGTTAGCGAAGCCTAGGAACTGCTACAACTCCTTCACGTTCTCGGGTGTCTTCCACGTGCGTACGGTTTCGGTCTTCTTGGGGTCGACGTGAACTCCTTGAGCGCTCACCATGTGTCCCAGGAATTGGACTTTCTCGAGGGCGAATTCGCTCTTGGATAACTTGACGTAGAATCGTTCTCGTCGGAGAATGTCGAAGACGCGTTGCAGGTGTTGGACGTGTTGCTGCATGTCGCGCGAGTAGATGAGAATGTCGTCCACGTACACCACCACGCATTCGTCCAAGAGTGGGCATAGAATATGGTTCATTTCAGCTTGAAACATTGCTGGTGCGTCGGTGAGTCCGAACGGGTTTACCAGATACTCGTACGACCCGTATCGAGTTCGGAAGGCAGTTTTGTGGATGGAATTGTCCGCCATTCGTATTTGACAGTATCCGGACCGCAGATCCAGTTTGGAAAATACCGTGGCTCCCCGAAAGGGGGCCAAGCAGGTCATCGATGCGTGGGATTGGGTATTTGTTTTTTATGGTCTGCTTGTTGAGAGCTCGGTAATCGATACACATGCGCATGTTTCCGTCCAGTTTCGGTGTGAAGAGTACTGGGGCACCGGATGGCGAAGTGGATGGTTGGATGAGTCCTTTTGCGAGGAGATACTCGATCTGCTTCTTCATATCGGCTAGCTCTGTGGGGCTTAGCCGATATGGTGCTCGGAAGGTCGGCTTCAAACTTGTGTTGGTGCGTTCGGTATGGCAGCAGCTCGTTTGGAAGGTCGTCGGGAAGAATGTCTTGGAACTCCTTCAGTAATTCCTTGATTTTTTGTGGAGGTTCCGAGGTTTTCGCTCCGTCGTTTTCCACATCCGTTGCTATCTCCAGGAACGCGGTGTTGGTTGTTTTACATCCTTCTCGAATCTTGCGAGTGTCTCCACTGGGACATCTCCTGTATCGTCCCAGTTGGGCAGTTGGACTATCCTCTCACTGTTGTAGATGCTTGCGGTACGATTTACCCAGTTGATCTCGGGGTTGAATCGTTTTAGGAAGTCTCGCCCGAAAATCAAGTCAAGCCCTTTTATGTTGGTGATGGAGAGTGCAGGTCTCCAGCGCAATGGTCCGATTTGTAGGTGTAACACGGCTTTGCCGTGTACTGGTAACCTGCTGCCATCCACCATCGTTGTAGAGAATAATGAAGGCTTGTACTCTTCCCGAAGTCGGTCGATTACTGCCTTGTCGCAGACGGTGTGCGATGCTCCGCTGTCCACGAGTGCTTGGAGGCGTCGTCCTTTGCAGATGACCTCCGCTGTCCACGATTGATACAAGGAGCTTTTATACTTCTAGAGTACATTAGGTAACCAGGTTTATCCTATCCAAAGGGGATAGACCCTTCTAGAAATAGAATCACCCCGTGTATAGCCACGCGAGGCTATTGGCTTTAAGGGATTACGGCAGGATTACGCTAGATATAGCGCGCCAGTACATCCCGAGCCTATTCGGTGATATAATCATAATAACGGGATAAACCAAAGGATAATGGAATGGGAGGAATAGGAAACCAAATGGGATGAGAGAAAAAGAGAAATGAAATAGAAAGGAGAGATGGAAAAGGAAATTGGTGTAAGGGGATCGTACTCTCACATCAGCTTTCCCATATCTGTACAGGCGTGTCACCTGAGTAGCTCAGCCTTCACTGAGGTCAGTGTGGCTTTGTCAGGAGCAGCAAAGGTAAGGTCGTCTATGTACACAAGTATATAGAACGGAGTCTGATCTGCACGAACAAAGAGCGAGGGGTCAGCAGAGGACAGAAAGAAGTGGAGAGCCGCGACTATAGTGTGGAGCGTATCGTGCCATTTACAGGCCACCTGGCGCAGACCATAGACAAGGCAGCGAAGGCTACACTGGGCTCAGGAGCGAAGGACCCGGTGAAGCCTGGTGGGCGCCGCAAGTAGATCCGCTCGTGTAGGCTGCCCTGCAAGATGGATGTGTAGAAGTCCAGTAGAGTGGAGCTTGTAGTTACGCTGTGCGGCTCTGTGGAGGAGCACTCGAATAGAAATCATATTCGAGGTAGAAGAGAAGGTCTGAAAGAAGTACACACCCTCTCGCTGATAGAAGTCTCTGGCCACATACCGCGCCTTGAACTGCGGCGGCTCTGTAGGCGGGCGCTTCACTTTATAAAGCCACATGTCATCGACTTTGCTTGCTCCAGGTGGAGGAAGTGTGCCGACGTAAGCACTAGTGGATCTATCAGATGCCATCTCAGCCTCCATGGCCTGTATCCACAGGGCTGCCCAGGTCTCCAAAACCGCCTCAGCGTACGAGCGTCAGGTAGGGATGTCTAGGGCGTCCGGGTCACCTTCAGGGGACACAAGCATGGCGTAAAGATGAGGTACAGTAGCCGCAAGGTAAGGGCACGTCATTTTAATGCATGCGGGCATCGATTCAAGCTCGATCACGAGATGTACACCCGTACGCTCTGCGCCGCCTCGTACAATAACAAAAACCGTTACTGTAATCCCCCGTATAAAACACCCGCCGGAATTAAGCTCCCTCGGGTAGCTTGAGCGGGTATGGGTGTTTAATTTTTCTGGATATACACAACACCCTACTTTCGGACGCGAAAACTTTTGAACACCCCCCTGCCACCTAGAATCTCCATTTTTAGCAGGAAACACTAGAATTTTGCGGTGCATAGATGTGTCCAACCATTCGTTTTTTCCACTCCTGCTGGGGCAACCGTATGCACGTCAAAGCAAGTGGGGAAAACGAGATCGCGACGCGGGTATTTAGGTAGGAGACGAATCTGCCCGAACGAAAACAAAGGAACCGAGAACATTGAAATCTGAAAGGTTCATACTGTACTCGACTTTCGCGTGTCGCGCCAAATCAAACGTGTGCCGATTGGTTCTTCTGGCAGCATCCTCTCTGATGCTGTGGATGCTGCTGCTGCTGCACACTGCCCACACCAAACCTCCGGCTCCACCACTGCTACCGCCCGTATTCTCCGAGCTAGCACCCCCAGGACTTGCACCCCCCGAACCAGCACCCCCAGAGATAGCCACCCCAGGGTAAACAGTCTCCCGCCGCTGCTGCTACGGCAGCGGGGGAGGCTGCTGAGGTACCTGGGGCACAGGGCCTGGGGGAAGGGGCGCCGCAGCTGTGGCAGGCACACCCCCAGCCACAGGGCTTCCAGAGTCAGCAGACTCCCCCACAGGCCCAAGCGAGGGGAGGGGAGTGGCGTGGGAGACACCAAACGTGGCCGGACGGGGTAGAAGGGGAGCGGCAAGCGGAGGATGGGCGAGGAAGAGAGGGGGAGGAGGAACGCGAGTGCCACAATTGGGAAAGCGAGTGTAAAAGGAGATGGACTTGTCGAACGTAACGCCACGAGAGCGCTTCTTCACAATAGCGAATATCATCAGCCAATCAATCCGTTCCCTCGAGTTCATTTGCAAAACACTAGAAAGATGCTAGACTGCGGTTTTAAGGCAGCGGTTCAGCACGTTGCAACACAAGTTTGGGAAGGGGTTGGTATGGGAAGAGGCTCTTCTGGCCAGACCCATGAAGAGATGGGAGGAATTCCAGCATGGCCTTTTGTGACATTATACATTATTTACAGAAGTCTTTATGGGTGTAAGAAGGGAAATGTATTAGTGGGAAATTGGGTGTGCCGTAACTAGAAATGAGCTGGATTAATGATGTAAAAAGGATTGGTTAGGAAGGTCAAGAGGTGATGCTTGTAAGGCTGATGGTGGTGGTGATGTTGGTGCTGCTGCACATGCTGCTGCTGTTCTTGATGGTGATGCTGCTGCTGTGGATGATGGCGATCATGATGACCATGGTGGCGATGATGGTGGCGATAATGGTGGTGATGATGGTGATTATGATGGTGATGGTGGTGATGGTAATGGTGATGGTGGTGATGGTGATGATGGTGATGGTGGTGATGATGGTGATGGCGATCGTGCTGCTGTTGGAGCTCCTCGTAATGATGCTGCCATCGGTGCTGCTGCCGGTGCTGGTGCTGGTAGTGGTGCTGGTGGCGGTGCTGCTGGTGGCGGTGCTGCTGCCAGTGCTGGTGTCGCAGCACATGGTGCCACAGCAGAAGGAGCCACAGAAGATGGTGAGGCAGCAGATGGTGCAGCAGGTGATGATAGTGAAGCGGCAGCAGATGATGGCGTGGTAGCCACCAGTGATGGTGCATTAGCAGTTGGTGTAGCAGTAGCAGCAGCAGCAGGAGGAGGGACTGAAGCACAGGGAGAAGGTGAGATGTCTGGTGGTGGTGGTGACAGTGGTGTTGGCGACAGTGGGGGTGGTGATGGTGGTGGTGGTGATGGTGGTGGTGGTGATGGTGGTGGGATTGCTGTGTGGAGGAAACAAGGAACAGAGGGAATGCAAGGGGAATGCAAGGGGAAAGTGTAAGAAAATTATGCAGCACGAGGCTAACAGAATGAGTGGTACAAGAATGAGTGGCAGCAGAATAAGTGGCAGCAGAAAAAGTGGCAGCAGAATAAGTGGCAGCAGAATGAGTGGCAGCAGAATGAGTGGCAGCACAAATGAGTGGTGGAATTTAAACCATAGTGAGTCCATAGTGGTGGATTTAGAAGCATCTGATAAAGCTTGAAGGCCGAAAACCAGACACCTGAGATTCTAGACTGGTGACTACTTGGACCAATGTAGGGGACCTGAGAAATCACCTGACAGGGAAAACATTCACCTGGATTACCACCTGGAATCAGCAGGAGAAGACTCACGAGGACTGGGAGGAGGGGGGGCTGGGTAGCGGCGGGAGATGAGCATGGGGGGCCGGGGAGGGGAAGGAGGGCGGGGAGGAGGTGGGCGGGGGGGAGGAGGACGGGGAGGGGATGGAGGGGGTAAAGGAGGTGAGGGAGGGGGAAAGGGAGGTGGGCGGGGAGGAGGTGACGGGGGAGGGGATGGAGGAGAGGGTGGGGAGGGTGGAGGGGGAGAGGAAGGAGCTGGAAGAGGGGTTGCAGCTGACTCTTCTGCTGAATAAGAAGAAAAACAGTGCAAGAACGTAGGGCAGAATACAGAAGAAAAGAGGAAAAGAATTGGGGGGAAAGAAGTGAGAATGGAAAGCTGGCACGTGCTGCTGAGGGAAAGAACGTTATAGAGGGGATGTGTGAATACCTGAGGAAGGGGGGTGTGTGAATACCTGAGGAAGGGGGGTGTGTGAATACCTGAGGAAGGGGGATGTGTGAATACCTGAGGAAGGGGGATGTGTGAATACCTGAGAAAGGGGGATGTGTGAATACCTGAGGAAGGGGGATGTGTGAATACCTGAGGAAGGGGGATGTTAATCACAAATCGAGAGGGAATGGAGCAGGTGTTTCAGGAATCGGTTCCAAATTGGCCGAGTTGCAGCAGAGAGCAGAAGAGTAGGTGTTTCCGTTATGGTGTGGGAAAAGTGGAGCACAGTGAATCACTGCCACTTACGCTGGGTTTGCCAGCAAACTCTTTTCTGATGGGGAGTGGCAGTCTGCAGATATACCTAACTAGGTAGCAGTGATCCCTGAGAAATTCCACAAGTGACTCTAATCTGTGGACATACCTGTAGGAGGTTGCGGTGGGGGTGGTGGTTGTGAGAGGGATGGTGGAGATGGAGGGGGAGAGGGAGGAGGAGGAGAGGGTGGGCTGGGAGGAGGGGGAGAGGGGGGCGGGTTAGCTGCAGGGGAGTCAGGGGGTGAGAGAGGGGGGATGGAAAGGGGGGGGAGAGGGAGAGGAAGGGAGCGAGACCGATTGAGAAGAGTGGGAGAGAGAGAAGAGGTGGTTGAGCTGCAAGAGTAATTCTTGGAAGAAGAAATATCGGAATTTCCTGGTCTCAGAGAAGATTCTCATCATTCTTGAATTGGACGTATACTAAAATCCATTTGATAATCGAGTGCACACTTTCTCCGCGCAAACGTGACCTACTTGAAGTCAGCTCGAGAGCTCGTTACCTTGGTATCTGCTGAAAAGTGTTGATACATTTTTCACGAAGTCTTCACATGACATCCTACCATACTTTGCTTGCACTGGGAGCACAAGTCAAGGGCATTTGGTGCAATAACAGCCTGCGACAAATTGTTGTTAGCAGGGTAATTTACTTCTGTTTGGTTCTTTGCTGAAATCCTCCTTCATTTTGCTGCTATGATTCCATGTCGGGCGATTCATGGGTCTTTCAGCGTACCGATCTTGCACTGTGTGCAGAAGTCGGGGCAGAGAGAGCAGAAGGCAGGCGGAGCAGCAGAGGAGGCGAGGACGGAACGGATGGTGCCCGTGCAGGAAGAGAGGGGCGAGGGGCACTCCATGCCGCTGCTGACGCTCCTGTTGGTTGGAAAGAATGAGAGAGGGGGAGGGGGTGGGGGAGGGGTGAGCAGCATAGGAGGCAAGGAGGGAGCGGGTGCAGGCAGAACTGGCTTGCTGTCGAGCCGGGCTCGGCTCAACTGAGCCGAGAACCCAAAAACACCTGGCTCAGCTCGCCTTTCTGTGGCCGAACCGGCACCGGCTCGACTGGCAGAGTGGCAGTGAGCGGTTGGGCAGTGGTTGGGGTTAGGATCCTTCGAGCCTGCTCGACTCCGGCTCGTCGCGGATGTCCAGGACGAGCCCGGGTTCGTCAAAATGGCTAGCAGAGCCGCGCCAAGCCGATTGTGGCTCAGCTTGTGCCCAGGTCTAACTCCATGCTGCTGCTGCTGCTCCTGATGTTGGAAAGAATAGGACGGGCACAGGGGGCGCGGACGGGTGAGCACTTCAGGCCACTGCTGATGCTCCTAATGCTGGGGGGAGGAATAGAGAAGAAACAGGAAGAGAGGGGGGGGGGGGGGAGAGGGGGGGAGGGGGAGGTCGACGTATTAACACACAGGTGGGGATTGATTGCACTGGGGTTATTACAGCTGCAAGGTGTGCAGGCAGGCCACGAGAGGCGACAGGCACTCCATCTGCTGACACTCCTCCTGATGTTGGGGAGGGGGGCAGGGAGCGGGAGAAGGAGGTGGGGAAGAGAGAGAGAGAGGGTGCATGTGTGTGTGGACATATAGGGGCACAAGTCAAACTCACAGGGGCACGAGTCAAACTCACAGGGGCACGAGTCAAACTCACAGGGGCACGAGTCAAACTCACAGGGGCACGAGTCAAACTCACAGGGGCACGAGTCAAACTCACAGGGGCACGAGTCAAACTCACAGGGGCACGAGTCAAACTCACAGGGGCACGAGTAAAACTCACAGGGGCACGAGTAAAACTCACAGGGGCACCATTCAAACTCACAGGGGCACGATTTAAACTCACAGGGGCACCGAGTCCAACTCACAGGGGCATGAGTCAAACTCAGGGGCACGATTCAAACTCACACAGGCACAAGGCTCTTCCTATAGTCACACTCACAGGTGCACGAGGGTGGAAAGCTGAGCAAGCAGCAGAGGGACAGTCCCTGTGAAGTTGTTACCAGAGAGTTGGCTGGTGGGTGGAGGGTAAAGGGAGAGGAGAGGTAAGGCGAGGGAGGAGTGAAGAACAATGCGCCGAGGGACAATGAGAAAGCAGCAGAGGGGCAGTTTTAAAGACGTTGTTTCAGAGAGTTTGCTGAAGGGGTAAGAGGTAGAAGGGGCGGGGGGGGGAGGAGGTTAGGAAAGGAAACAAAGAGACTTTCGGACTTGAGGGTGGGGAGGTTAGGATAGGGTGGAAGTCCGAAAAGACTCACAGGCTGTAGAGGTTGGGTGAGGCAGCAAAGAGAGAGTCTGTGATGGAGCCGGACAGGGTGTTGCTGCGCACGTCGCTGAGAGGAAAGGTGGGGAGCGAAGGGGTGGAGAGCGGAGGGATGGAAAGTGAGGGGATGAAGACTTGAGGGATGAAGACTGGAGAAATGGAGAGTGGAAGTTGGGAATGCATGGGGCCGCAGAGGGTGTTGTTGCGGACACTGCTGAGAGGCGGAGCGGTGGGTGGATAACACAACAAGTCAGCAATAAGAGGGAAAACAAGGAGAAAACCAGGAGGTGGAGGCAGGACGGCAAGAGAGGAGAGAGGGGAGGAAAGTGAGAAGAAATCACGAGCTTGTAGAGACAAACCATTTGACAGACTCACAATCTTAAAGCACAAGGTTCGCGAAAGATGGTATGTGACTGGATGGGATGGCCCTCACAAGGAGAAGAACGCTGGGTTTCGGATTGAGGGTTGAGGGAGGGGCCCTGAGAGGCGGTTGCTGGCAAGAAGCCTGCAGCAGGCCGCAGGGGAGAGTATGGGGAAGCACAGGAGGGCGCCTAAGTACAAGGCACGGGCTCTGAGAGCAGAGGCTGTTGCTGAGAGGTGACTGCTGGCAAGACATCTGCAGCCTGCAGGGGAGAGTTCGTATGGGGAAGCAGAGGTGGTGGCGTTTGAGAGGGTTCAGCAGGAGGCAGAGGGGGTTTGAGACACGAGTCACAAGGAAGCAGGGAATAGGAGGGGGGGCTGAGAGGCAGTAATGGCGTCATTTTTAGATATGTATATATATATATATATATATATATATATATATATAAGCTTGCAGCCTGCAGCAGCAACTCATGTAATTACTTATACACGCACGAACAGGGTGAGCCAAGGTGGGTGGTAATCACCAAGTCAGAGTTGGTGGTTGGTTGACTTGCCAGGGTTAATCAACCAGTGAAATGTGTACAGTGCAGTGCACACAAGTGTACCAGGGTGGCTTATATCGAGCACTGACAGGACTTTCAATTTTGGAGCATTGGCAATGGATGCAGGAATGGGGCCCTGAAGCATGTTGTTGGAAAGGCTTCTGGAGATACAGGGGAGGGAAAGAAGAGAAGATACACGGAGGATGAGCGGAGCGGAGTGCTCACAGTGCTTCAGGACCGGGGAAGCCAGCCAAGTTTCTTGACAGAGAGCCGTTAGGCAGTGAGTACACAAGGGGCTCCCCCGTTACTCTACCACAGCCACGTGCACCAGACACAACACAACAGGCGGTGACTATAACGAGGTGCACATGGCCGGGTGAACAGCGAGGAAGCGCTCACAGTGCTTCAAGGCTCACAGTGCTTCAAGGCTCACAGTGCTTCAAGGCTCACAGTGCTTCAAGGCTGGAGAAGTCAGCAAAGTTGGCAGGCAGAGAGCCGTTGAGGCGATTGTCGTTGAGATAGCTGGCAGGGAAGAGGAGGATGGGATGGGGAGTGAGATTAGGGGGGTAGCGGCAATTAGGGATGGAGAATGGGGCAAGTCAGCGCCGTCAGTTGGCAGAGAGCCGTTGAGACAGCTGGCAGGGAAGAGGGGGTGGCGTGTGGAAAGTGAGAGCACATCACTTACAAACAATAGGGGCGTGGGATGCTGCAAGGAGTGAGAGAATCTCATGCGCGCCGCACCACATGCGCGCAGCACCATGTGCGTTCAGCGCCGCCACATGCGTGCACCGACACATGCGTGCAGCGACACATGCGTACATCGACACATGCGCGCACCGACACATGCGTGCAGTGCCACATGCATGCAGCACTACTCACATGTCTCGCAGTCGTGGCAACGATGCGAGGAACGAAGGCATGTTTCCATGAAGCATGTTGCTCTGGATCGACCTGAGGGCAATCCGATGGTTCGTGAGAGAATGCACACAAGACCAGCCTCACATGATCAATCTGACACTTATGATGAGATTTGTATTTGATGCCTTCAAATTGAAAATACACATTAACGGTTATCCTTGTAAGGAGAGCAGGTGGCAGCAGAGGCGGTACTAGAACCTTTGACCCCATTTTATTTGATATGCTTCCATCATATATCAGGAGGCAGACACTGCTAGAAAGCATGCACAACGGCGCCACCACCATGAGTGCTATCAATCACATACATGCAAAACAACCCACAAGAGGAACTCACAAGAATGATAATGCAGTGAGGCCAGAGACAGAGAGAGGGATGGTCCCAGTGATGTTGTTGTTGTCAAGACAGCTGTTATGCCATGCCATGCCATGCCATTCCGTGCCACCATGCAATGCCATGCATTCAACATCAGGTCGCTTCCATACGCTTTAATCATGTCAACTTGTGATACTTTGGTGGCCCTGTAGTGTGTGGGCGGCCCAGTGGACCACAGCAGATGTATGCACAGCGTAAGTGAGGAGCAAGGAACAGAGAACAAAAGACTGGATTCCCAAAAGGGAGGTCCTTAAAAAGAGGTCCTTAAAGGAAGGTCCTTAAAGGGAGGTGCCTAAAGGGAGCTGACATTGTGAAGCATGGCTGGATCAACAAGACTTGTGGAGAATGAAACACGTCATTTTCCAGGATTCTCGGTAAGTTCTGATATGGTACGATATGATGCACCGGGTCTAAGCTTACAGGGAACTGAGGAGGGTCAACTTGCCAATTGTGGATGGGAGAGAGCCGGATATGCTGTTGTGAGAGAGGTCAATGTAGCTGTAGGAGGTTTGCTGCTAAGTTGGTACTTTACGTCACTTTAGGTGACGTAAACGTACAGTACGCGTAACGTTACGTTTACGTTACGTTACGCGTACGTTACGTTTACGTCGCCGGGCAGGCCCTGAAATTTTTTTCCGGGCAATTTTTTTCCCTCCGAAAACCGCGTTCTACAACTACGCGATCTACAACTACGCCTAGATTATCGCTGCCCACGGTTCGCGCAGATCTACCCCGTCATGAACTATGGCGCACGTAGATTCGTCGCGCTGGTCGAAGGTGCGCTAACAGTCCTAAGATGCGACTTAGACTTAACTTAGTTGCTACTGGAGATAGGGTAGCGACTGACATTCGTCGAGGAGGGAAGGGGAATTGAATGTCGAGGAGGGTTGGGGTACCAGCACGTCAGATTTGACGCGCACAAATCCGTCGACTGGTTGGATTGCCGGCGCGTCAAGCAGCGGAGACGAGATTTCGCGCACGCGGTAATTTCGCCAACCAGTCAACAGATTGTCAATTTGCATGTTACAAGCGTAGGACCTGTTGGAAAATTTGTATTTCGTGGATGTTTTCTATCTTCCTACTAAAATATTTAATGGCCAATGGAAGTCTGTACAAAAATCTGCCTAGGGTTCCCTCTTCTTCTTTTTTCTGGGCAGGTAGAAAATTTTAGCCTGCCCGTACATACAGGCCTAAAACCAGAATCGCGTAAACGTACGTAAATGTAAACGTAAACGTAACGTAAGGAACCAACTTAGGTTTGCTGTAGGAGGGTGGTACGCTGAGCGGAACAAAGGAGACTTACAGGGAACTGAGGAGGCTCAGCTTGCCGACTGTGGATGGCAGCGAGCCGGAGATGCTGTTATGAGAGAGGTCGCTGCGCCAAGTAGGTAGAGGTGGGGAGTGGAGGGACGCACAGAGAAGCGGAGGAGAGAGCAATGGGATGGAAAGGCTGAGAGATAAGCTTAAATTTTTTAACAAAAACCTGAGTAAATTGAAGGCACAGAAAGCAAAGCAGGTGCTTGCTTGCTCATCTTCCCACTCCTAATATGACTCAAACGTGTGGCGTGTGAGTGAGGGTGAGTGAGGGAGTAGGGGAAAGCCGTTGAGGCTCCAACAACCCTCACCGCCCACTCCCTCCTCAACCGAACCTTGCTTCGTCAATTCGCGGAATTAGTTTCATCCAACATTGCGCACTTCTAGTAATGATGGGGTGGGCAAGGTTCAAAATTACGGTTTTCGAAAAATACGGTCTGTAAATTACTACCGTTTTTTTTCAGGCAGTTCGGGAAAAAAACGGCGTAATTTAAATACAGCACATGATTTATTTTTTTCCGAAGGGAAAATGGCTCCTATGCGGTTTCAACGTCAACTGAATGGTTAGTAATGCACCTAGACATGGTTAAATCGCATCGCATCGCGATATATCGCATAGCATTATATCGCATTTTGCGATAGCGATTTATCTTCTTTTTTTAAGAACATCGCGGCGATGCGATGCGATAATATCGCGCGATATTTGCGATATCGCGTTTTTATCGCGCTATTTTTTGCGCGATAAAATGCGATAAGCGATAAAAAGATATCGCGCGCGATACTTTCGCGTTTCGCGTCGCGGAATTTCGCCAGCAAGGGGAGGGACATGGGCGAGGGCCCTGAACTTAGCAAAAATAGAAGGTGAGCTAGTCTAGGTTTCTCTTGGGGTGATGCTGAATGACGCGCGGAAATGGCAAGCGGCAGTTTGGGGGGAGGAGTTTGTGTGAGGAGCAGAGCTTGGAGAACATTAAAGGAAGGGTTGGAAATTCTAGATGGGAAGGAGTGCAGTGTGGTTGAGGGAGGGGAGTTTGGTGGGGGTTCAAATTTGTTATGGTTGGTGGTGGGTGGTGGGTGGTGGGCGAGTGGGTTTTCTGGATGGGATGTGGTGGTGTGCGGTTGAAGGGATTTAGGGGGGTGGACTGAAATCTCGACCCCCAAAGTCAATTGGTTGGACTCCAACCAATTTCCACCACTTCAACCGCACTAAAATCCCCTGCATCTACAGAATCCAACCCCGTCCCCTCAAACACGCTCCACATGAGTGAGAGAGGGACCATAATATTGCCATCTCCCGTCAATTCACTTCACTAATTCCGCGCGAACCTAGGAGAGCCACCATTGTCGTGCCCTGTGGTGTGGGAACACGTTTTTTTAGGGCGGGGAAACAGTGGCCCCTAAATGCGATGCGATATTATATCGCATCGCGCGATGCATCGCTTTTTTTAGGCGATATTTTTTAATATCGCCCCCTAAAACGCGATATGCGATTTCGGTTTTTTTTTAACATATCGCATCGATGCGATATCGCATCGCTGCGATATAATGCGCGATAAGAAAGAATGCGATGCGATATCGCATCGCATCGCGTTTTGACCATGTCTAAATGCACCATGGCACCTACAAACATGGAAACCTGGAGTTGCTAGGTGGTAGTGTAAACTGGCTTAGGTTCCAGCCAGAAAAACGCTCCAAACTACGTCCTGTGGTAGCTTAGAAAACGTCCTCTGTATTTGTATCTCACACACTTCGAAGTTGGGTTGAGAAAGGCTTCGAAGCCAAAATCCATTGGTTCTGTTTTTGAAACACGCTTCGACAGGGTGGCTTCGCAAATTGCGCGAGACCACCCTACTGGGCGCGAAATAACCAACGGGTTTCGCGAAGGGGGGGGTTGTTTCATAAGAGCACAAGGAAATTTTGGTAAAATGCGTGAATCGGGGTTCGGGTGAATTCGCGCTTTGGAAAACTTTGACATATGAACATTTGGGGGTGTGCGTGTACCCCCATACCCAAATTTCTGGTACGGAATTCGACATTCTAAATGTACACCACAGATTTAAAAATCGGCCGTAAAAAACGGCCGTTTTTTTAACCAACCCAAAAAAGGTGTTTTCGAGCCGTAGTATTCGTATTATACGGCCGTAAATTACGAAACCGCAAAATAAGGGCTAAAAATATAAAAAAACGCCGTAATTTTGAACCCTGGGGGTGGGGTGTACGTACTTTTTTTTAGGACAAGACCGTAATAACGAGGATGCGGTAACGAGGGCGAGACAAGGATGCATGGGGGCGAGACAAGGATGCATGCGGGCGAGACAAGGATGCATGCGGGCGAGACAAGGATGCATGCGGGCGAGACAAGGATGCATGCGGGCGAGACAAGGATGCATGCGGGCGAGACAAGGATGCATGCGGGTGAGACAAGGATGCATGTGGGCGAGACAAGGATGCATGTGGGCGAGACAAGGATGCATGTGGGCGAGACAAGGATGCATGTGGGCGAGACAAGGATGCATGTGGGCGAGACAAGGATGCATGTGGGCGAGACAAGGATGCATGTGGGCGAGACAAGGATTCATGCGGGCGAGACAAGGATGCATGTGGGCGAGACAAGGATGCATGCGGGCGAGACAAGGATGCATGCGGGCGAGACAAGGATGCATGCGGGCGAGACAAGGATGCATGTGGGCGAGACAAGGATGCATGTGGGCGAGACAAGGATGCATGTGGGCGAGACAAGGATGCATGTGGGCGAGACAAGGATGCATGTGGGCGAGACAAGGATGCATGTGGGCGAGACAAGGATGCATGTGGGCGAGACAAGGATTCATGCGGGCGAGACAAGGATGCATGTGGGCGTGACAAGGATGCATGTGGGCGAGACAAGGATGCATGTGGGCGAGACAAGGATGCATGTGGGCGAGACAAGGATGCATGTGGGCGAGACAAGGATTCATGCGGGCGAGACAAGGATGCATGTGGGCGAGACAAGGATGCATGCGGGCGAGACAAGGATGCATGCGGGCGAGACAAGGATGCATGCGGGCGAGACAAGGATGCATGTGGGCGAGACAAGGATGCATGTGGGCGAGACAAGGATGCATGTGGGCGAGACAAGGATGCATGTGGGCGAGACAAGGATGCATGTGGGCGAGACAAGGATGCATGTGGGCGAGACAAGGATGCATGTGGGCGAAACAGATTGCGGATGAGGGTGAAGAGATCAGCATTGTGAGGACGCATGGGAAAGGAGGAATGGGAATGGGGAGGAGACATGTTAAGGGGGAGGAGGAATGCAAAGGGCGAGGAGGACTGGCCAGAGGAAGGAGGCGGTTCTCACAGTCCCTTCAGGCCGATGAGCCCCCTAATGCCTTGGGGCAGGCTGCCTGTCAGTCGGTTCTGCTCCACACTCCTGCAGGGATTAGGGGCGGCAGGCAGGGCAACATCAAACTATGACTCATCAATTATTTGGGGCTGGAGAGCCCCCCACCCCAATGCCTTGGGGCAGGCTGCCCGTCAGCCGGTTGTGATAACACTCCTGCAACAGTGAGAGATTGACCATTGCGTATAATTACAGCCATTGGGGCACAAATTTTTTAGGCTCCTAATAGAGACTTACAGAAACGTCAGCCCTTTGACTCGACTCAAATCCGCAACGTAACATTGTGGCGTGGGGACGAGAGATGGAGTTACTCCAGTGTGTGCGCATGGGGACTTACAGATACGCTAGTCAGCTGGAGCCTGGAGATGCGCTTACAGATACACCAGTCCCTGGAGTTTCGAGATGGAGGCTGGTAGCGAGCCGGTGATGGTGTTGTTGCCTAGCCAGCTGCGAGAGGAAAAGGGGCGGGGATACAGGGGAAGGGGATACAGGGGAAGGGGATACAGGGGAAGGGGATACAGGGGAAGGGGATACAGGGGAAGGGGATACAGGGGAAGGCGAAAGGAGGTAAGAGGTTGGGTGATGGTGTTGTTGCTGTTGCCTAGCCAGCTGAAATCTGCAAATTGGGGGGAGGGGGGGAGGGGGGGAGGTTGCGGACAAGGGACGGGGAAAGGAGGTAAGACGTTGGGTGATGATGTTGTTGCCTAGCCAGCTGCGAGGGGAATGGGGGGCGTTGAGGTTGGCCGAGTTAAAGAGGAATGGAAAGGGGTGGAATGGAGGTAGGCAGGTGAAGGAGTTCGGAGAAGGACGGAGCCCATAGTGAGCCGGTATCAAGCATTGACAGACAGCACCAACACGAGCTACGAGCTCATAGTGGCGTTGCCTAGCCAGCTGAGGGAGGATACGAGCAGGACTGTGATTTGAGGCACCTGAAGAACCACTCTTCCTTACGTCTGCAGCAGTAAGCAGTGCCTTACGGACCACTCATAAACACGTCAGAACCAGCACGCAGGCACGCACAGACACAGGGACATCAGCAGCAGTAGCAGTGGCAGCAGTAGGGACGCGTATTTACAGCAGCAGGAGGAGGCACTCACAGGCAGGAGAGGTCTGATCTGATCTGATTTCGTCAGCAGCAATAAGTGCCGCAGTAGCACCAGCAGCAATCAACCGCTCGCTCGCATGTAAGTCAAGTCGGAGAAGGGGCTAATGGTCGATGCAAGGAACTGCTGCCAGGAAGAATATTTTAGGCACTATATCAACCACTCAGGTTGAAGTCAGCAGCAGCACGGGGCACTCACACATAGGTCAGGTCAGAGAGGCGGCTAATGGTCGAGGGGATGCTGCCAGCGAAGCGGTTGTGAATGGCGTTGCTGCGGGTGGGATAACCAGTGGTGGGGGGTTTGGCAGGGGCGGTTGGCAGGGGCGGTTGGCAGCAGTGGGGAGATAGTAATACGGGGCTGCCAACAAGGAAAAACGTCTACGGGTTGAGGGGATGCTGGCAGAAGCGCAGACCAGGGAGGCGGGAAAAAAGAAAGGAGGAGATTTGACATCTCTTAAGCATGGGTGGGTCATGCCTGCTACCAAACCTGCTGTCAAACCTTGCCAGGCCTACTGCCAATCCCATTTAACTACAGCATTGCCCACTTGCCACAGCCCCTTGACCCACAATTGCAGCATGCGTCTAGTTTCCAGGGGCCTCAAAACTAGGCGCCTGGAAACCTCCACGAGTTCTCGCTTTTCTCCGAGGCTTTTTGACTCACAAATGCTGCAGGCGTCGCAAGCCAGTGAGAGGAGTGAGCGGGCCAGTGAGATTGTTGCCGGGGAGCATGCTGGTGATGAGGGGTTGGGGGAAAGATGGGGAGAGGAGGGGAAGAGGTGGGAGAGAAGGGGGAGGAGGAAGGGGAAGGAGGAGATTGTTGATAGGCAGGCAGCATTAAGGCAGGGAGTGAATAAGCAGGGGCGAAACATATTTAGTACGTAAATATTATATGAAAGGGGGGGAGACATGAGAGAAAAGGGGGGGACAAAGGCGAACAATAAAGGGTCAAGGGAAGGTGAGAGGATGGGTGGGGGGAAGTGGGAGACCAAGCGACTAACTGAGACATGTCAGAAGAGGGGAGTGGCCAGGGAGAAAGAGGCGGTGATATTAAGGGAGTGTATGAGAGGGGTACGAAGCTGACGTTTAGGGTCTCGTTCCAGCAAGCACGTACAGAATCACAAGGACACATCAAGAGGTGCGAGCACGCGCATACAGAATCACGAGGTTGGTGAGGTGCGACAGGCCAGCGGGGAGAGAGGAGTAGAGGCCAGCCCGAACAAGCTGCCTGTGAGGGGGGTTTGAGAGGGGAGTTAGAGGGGCAGGAGCACAGAACGGAAGAGAGAGGTTACAAACGAGATGAGAAGAGGACCATGATGCCTCACCCGCTCTGTACCAATCAAGCCATTCGGCGAAAAAAAACAGAGCTCTGGTGAAGAAAGTATTGAAGAAACAGAAGACGAGGATGTTAGAGGCTGCTGCTTCAGCTTCATTAAGGAAATCATTATCGCAGTGATTGCATAAAGCAGTAGAAAATGCTACCACAAACACAGCCATGTTAAAAACAGATTGCATGCACTTTCACTCGACAAGCACTGGTTGAATCACGTACTTGCTGCCGGAACAGATGCAGTGAGAACAGGTGCAGTCGGTCGCAACAGGTGCGGTGGGAACAGGTGCGGTGGGAACAGGTGCGGTGGGAACAGGTGCGGTGAGAACAGGTGCATACACACCACACTCCTTAAACAGGCACTCACAGGCGTGTCAAGGCAGTGAGGGAGGAGAAGAAGTGTGGGATGGTGCCAGATAAGGTAACACCGTCCATGCTCCTGCTCTCTCAATTCATAGACGAGGTGAGGTGAGGGGGAAACGGGGGGGTGGGGGGAGGGGAGGGGGGGAAGGGAGGAGGAAGGAAAGAAGGGAGAGGATGGATGGACCGGGCAACAGAAAGCTCCGATTGACAGAGAAGGTTATATTGGCCAACGAAGGGCGGAGAGCCCTCTAGTGCTGAGGCGTGCAGTCGTGGTGACGGGCAGAGCGCCCCCTCATGCGGAAATCATGGAGGCTCTTCTTTTATTGAGGCGCCTCAGAAGTAGATGATGGGGGCTCTTCCCGAAGCGCGGCTTCTTACAGCAATTGGACTGGTCTCAGCTTGGATAAGGTGGCTGGGAAGGAAGGAAGCAACCAGCTGGTATGGCTGAGGCGGCTGTGATCATAGTGCATCTCTCAGCTTGGACAACGTCAAGGTCGCTGTGCTGCACTTGTCAAGGAAAGTTCCTAAGGTGGCTGGGATGGCTCTTACAGCGATTGGAGTCGTCTCAGCTTGGACACGGTGGCTGGGGAGGAAAGGACCCAAGTGGTTCTGGTTTGGGTGTGCATGAGCAACCGAGGTGACTAGTTCCTCGCCGCCTTTACTGGCCTTCAAAATAGCGAGTAACTAGGTGGGCTCCCTGAAAAGTTTCTCTGACCAAGGCGAGGCGAGGTCCCGGTGATGCGCTTGTCAAGGCATGTCCTAAGGTGGCTGGGGATGGCCCTTACAGCGATTGGAGTCGTCTCAGCTTGGACATGGTGGGTGGGAAGGAGCCGCCTGCCACCGCCTGATAGAGGTCCCTGCAGTGATGGGGGGTGAGGGTGAGTGGCGCACGCAGAGGGAGGAACGAACCACCCCTCGCTGCTTGGGACTCATCCCTGCACAGAGATGCGCGGAGTGGGCGAGGGTGGTTGGGGTTCTAGCCGCGTGAGCTTGGACAGAGGGGATGGGATGGGAAGGAGCCACCTGCCTGCCAGTCACCGCTTGGTAGAGGCCCCTGCAGTAAGGGGGGATGGTGGTGGTGATGGTGGAAAGTGCAAGAGGTAATGTGCATGCACAGATGAAGGTCGGTCGGGATTGTGAATATGTGGGAGAGACATGTGAGAGAATGTGAGTGGGGTGCGAGAACATGTAAGCAGCAGCGAAAGTGCTTACAGTGAGGTGAGCGACGTGAGCTGGCCTATCACAGAAGGGACGCTTGGCATGCGGGTTGGTGTATGAGAAGATTTTCCTGGGTGAAAGAGGGGAGAGAACAGGGGAGAGAGGGAGTTGCATTGTAGGTGCCCTTAAAGGGGAGCGAGGTGAGCAGGGCCATTACAGAAGGGATGCCTGGCAGGCATGCGGGTTGGTGGATTGGAGTATGGGAATATTTTCCTGTGTGAGAGAGGGGAAGGGGGAGTACACGGGATCAGGGAGGAGGGAAACTGCAAGGATTGGTGCAAGTTCTTCAGCACCGTGCGCGCACAGAGGGAGGGGGGTCATTTGAAGTATAGACAGCGTCGGTGGGGAGAAAGGCTTTAAGAGGTTCAACAAACAGCACATGCCAGCTCAATCAGGGGTCTTACAATGACTGGAGGCGCACGAGGGATCGAATCGGCAGAAGTTTAGAGAGCACAGATAGCTGAGAAGAAAGGTAAGGTAACGAGGAGTCAAGCTGAGTGCACGTGGCAGCAAAGGTCTTACAATGAATGGAGGCGCACGAGGGATCGAACATCCAGCGGTAGAGACACCAGTGATGAGAGCTTGCTGCAGGGGAGGGGTGGAGTGGATGGGAATGAACGCAGATGGGGGGAAGGGAGAGAGAACAGGAGGGAAGGGAGAGAGAACAGGAGGGAAGGGAGAGAGAACAGGAGGGAAGGGTACGGATGAGGGATGGAACATCCCGAGGTAGAGACACCTGGGATGAGAGCTTGCTGCAGGGGAGGGGAGGGGTGGAGAGGAAGGCAATGCAGCCAGATGGAGGGATTGGAGAACGGAAAAGGAGGGAAGGGTGTGAGGTGAAAATAGGCATAAGCATGTGTGAGGATGGGTGATAGCATGACTCTGGGAGGTCAAAATAACAGGGTGAAAAGAGAGGGTCCTGTTCAGGCTTCTGCTTCCATATAAGAGGGGTGCACAGCTGGGAGTCTGCCTTACCCGTTCCATAACGTCCTCCAAAAAACTGTAACTCTGAAGCTAAATCAAGATAAGCGTGCAAGGGAAGAAACAAGCGGAACGAAAAGAAAGGAACTCCCTTACAGAGAAGTAACGTATCCCTGCAGATTACACTCTATCTCCCTTATAAGGTCGCAGTCATCCTCCACCTCCACTCCCCCCGCCCCCACACCGCCAGTGCTGCCCATCCCATTGCCAGTGCCGCCCGCTCCCCCTGACGCGCCACTCAAGGCCTGTCGTTGACTCAATATCACACTGAGCGCGCTCCCTGGGGGCAATGGGGAACAGCGCAAGGTGGTGGCGGTGTGGGAGTGGGGGAGAGGGGGAGAGGGAGGAGGGAGGAGACGGGGGAGAAAGGTGGGAGGGGAGCACTCAGCCCAGGCACGAGTGAAACGGCCCTATCGCCTGTTCCTGCTGATGTTGGAGACAGAGCAAGATGGGGGGGAGGGGGGGGGAGAGCGGGAGATGAGGAGACCTTTGAGTCGACCAAAACGTCACCTCGAGGCAGAGCAAGACCGGGGGATGGGGGAGTGGGGGGGAGATGAGGAGCACCCAGCGTATAGGAGGAGGCGCGAGAGCAACGGACTGCCATATTGCCTGTTCCCCCCGACGCGCCTCTCAAGGCCTGGCGGTGGCTCAGAATGTCGCCCAGGGAGGTTTCTGCGCGAATAAGGGAAAGGGGGGACGCGATGGGAAGGAATCGCTGTTGCTCTGAGCCGATTGGGGATGACCTGGGATGGGCAATGGGCATGGGGGGATGAGATGGGGGATGGGGGGATGCAATGGGGGATGGGGGGATGAGATGGGGGATGGGGGGATGCAATGGGGGATGGGGGGATGAGATGCGATGGGAATGGGGAGATGGCATGGGGATGGGGGTGGGAAGACTTGGGGATGGGGGGATGAGATGGGAGGAAGGGGAAAGAGAGAGGGATGGGGTGAAAGAGCAATCGGGGAAAGGGAGAGCTGCCTCGAGGCCTTTCATTTCGCCCGCCTTTACCCCCAAGCGCCGCCCCCCAAAGAACGGATCGAGCGCCGCGGCCGCCTATCCGGAATAATCCTCGGGCCGCGGGTCCCCCGGGCGACCAGGGCAATCCGCCAGGGTGGAATTGCTTCATTTTTCCGCGGCGCCTCCACTAAGGCCGAGACGCGAGGTGGGGATGGGACGACGGGAACATTAGGGACGTAAGTGGCGACGCGAGTAGGCGAGTGGTAGTCGGCTGGAAAAGCGCTTGCGACGCACTGAGACTCGCGAATGGGGATAGCGACGGTTGACGGGACAGCGGCGAACGCGAGAGTGGGGGTGTGCGAGTGGAAGTTGACATGTCAGGCGAGTCGGAAGGGAGGCGGGCGGGCAGTATCACTGGGAGTGCGGATGGTAAAGAGATGAATTTGAGTCGACTCAAGAGGCGGGCGGCGAGCAGCAGTGTGGACTGAAGGCACGAGCCGCTTACTCTGCGATTCGCGAATGGGAATGGCATCGGCTGGTGTGATAGCGAATGCCGCCGCTGCGAGCAGGAATGCTGCGACGACGGCGAAGACTGCTTGCGTCGCACATAGTAATCGCCGGCGAGCCGGCGGCCTTGATGATGTCGCAACGCCTCGCAACGTCGAAGTGTGCCGCGGCGGCGGAGTCGCAGCGCGTGACATCGCAATGTGTCGGGAATTTCGAGCCAGGCGGTTTCTAGTCTGCATTGGCGTCCGTCCCCGCCGCCAATGCGGCTCAGAATGGAAGGCACGTGACGTTGGGGTTCAGCGCTGTCCCAATAAAATGCTTCCTTATGGCGAAGAGAGCTGTGATTGTGGATGCGACTGTTCCTTGTGATTAATGGTACTATAAATAGGCGGCTCGCCATGGTCTAGCCGCACGGTGCTAGTAAACGCGTCGAAGCATGGCTTGAAACTGTGTCGTAAATCCACCGTCACGAAATATTGTTCTCGCAGCCGCGGCGGAGCATCATTTCCGCTGGCTCTTCTCTCAACAGCGTGTTTTCCACTCTTCGAGCCGGGGAGTGGGAGCTCTCCCGACAGGATGGAGACGTAATCACTTATGAGTCGACTCAAAAGTCTCTTCCAGGCTGGGAGTGGGAACTTTCCCTACAGGATGCAGGTGCGGAAAATAAAAGACTCGGTGTCCGAGAGGCTGCAGAAGAACCCAGAAAGAACAACGATTGGTCGGATCCGTATGTCGCGTATGCGAGAGGGCGTGAGAGCCTGGCAAGTTGAGTCCTCGCCTCCAAGTACGTATATCGCGTATATCTGATCTGACGCTGATTCGTGCTTCCCTTCCTCGGCGGGCCCGTCCATTTTCGCGTGATGGCCAGAGGCCCATCGTCAATGCTGGTGTTTAAGGGACAAACTGGGCGTGTGGAGAAGGAATCGGAATCTACAGCACAGGCTGCTGGACAACTCACATCACAGCAAGCATGCAGAACAGCAACATGGAATGGAAGGCACAGAGGTGGAACAGAACACACCTCATAATCACAGTTTTATCCAGGTTGGTGAGGGAGGATGGATGAAGGAGAGAGGAAGAGGGATAATCAATCCTATAGGAGGAACATTTGCCTGGGTACGACTGGGTATCCCGACAGGATAGAAAATCTTAATCGTAAGAATGACGGGTAGATTTCTTACCGATTAAGATTTTCTCTGGGCGACTGGTTACCGAGCTCCTGAACGGGACTGGTGACAAGCAATGCATATTGCCAGTTCAGACCCCTCCTTCTGAACCGCACTGAACTTCAAGATTTTTAGACGGATACCACGAGGTTCTTAAGGGGTAGGGGACGTTTGAAACAGATGATTCTTTATGAGACAGGGTATTCGCCTGAAACACCCTGTCCGAAACCGGGGGCCGAGTGGCGGCGCTTGCTTTGGGCGGGCAGGTTCTGTGCAAACTGGTGAGAGTGCTGCTGAAATCCGATTACACCAAGAGCCTGACAGAGGAACACACTGTTCACGAGTCGCGCTGGATGAATGTGGATGGAATTATCCGTCGGGAGGGTGCACTTTGGGACAGAATTGGGCTAGGCATTTCGCGGACATCATGTGTACAGTGCCTAAAGGCATGGAGCCTAGGGTTGCACAAACAGACTGAGGGAATTTCCGCAGCGAGTGTTAGACCCAAGGGATTAGCAGGAAGATCCGAGGCTGGAAAACAATTGCCTCGGGTCTTGCGAAAAACTGACGGCTCCAGCCAGTCAGCTGTCAAGCCGAACAACTAACAATGTCGCGCAAGTGAGCTTTCACCAATCATAACTTCGAACATTTCTGGTGGACTCGCAAAGTTCGGTTAGTGTAGTCGCAATCCTCCCCTTGCGACTATTCGCGACTATGCAGTCGCTGCACTGTCAATAAAATTAAACCCGCAGTTAGGTTGTGACACAGGTGGCTCCTTCGGCCTCGGGTCGATCTCGGGTATGACACTCGCTGCAAAATACGCCCTGAGTTGCGAAGTCCGTTCTGGTTACGAGTTTCGCAAACATCTCGAAGGTTATTCGCAAATCTTTCTCAGGGCAAAAACTCGTCAAAACCGCAACCAGCTGCGCAATCTGGGTTGCGCAACCCTAGGATCCAAGCCATGAGGCTTCAACCCAAATCTCGTTAACGACACTCGTTTTGGGCAGGGCGGTTAGCATTTGTTTTTAGCGAAATGTGATGTTACGTGACTCCGAAGGGGGCCGCCCGCTGTCGGTATTTCCCGAGCCCGAAACGGCTTTCGGAGAGTACTCGGGAAGCCGAGCGGTCAAATGCTTTGGAAAGGGTTAAAGCTGTATAAAATAGATACGTCCACCACATTAGACCCAGGAAACTGTTCGGCCGGTAACAAGAATTTCCGTCCTTTCGCCTAGTTCTGAAAATTGCCTGTTTGGAAATTATGGGGCATTACGAAATTGAAATAAACTACCTCTTTCGTACATTGATGTCTCGAATATAAGTCGCATCGGGTACAAGCTACTCACAAATGGCTTCGGAGCAATGCGATCAGAAGCCGACCCGGGCAATGACGGCTATGGCGGTTGTAATGTTTCGTGTTGTGACATTAACGAAGTTAGAGTGTAGATCTCGACTGGTGTGGTGAGGGGGGGGGGGGGTGGCGGGACCACCTCCGAAAGAATTCTCATACACGTTGCAAGCTGAAACTCGTTGTACGTGGACTGGTACATCATCTAGGACACCCTCTCGTTTCTCTCACATTATCAACGTGTTAAAACGATTGAACATAGTGCACTAGAGATGCACGACTTAGAATTGAATGATGATTGGGGGTTAAAAACAAAACAAGAGTTGACTAAATCGTCGTGGGGTTGCGGATCCTTAATTGTACCGAATATGATTCATTAACGTTTGCATGCAGACAATTATATGTTTTGTTTTAATGAAAAAGATTCGTATATGGAATATTGTTGGTGTACATAACATTCCAGCAATGTACATGCAATGGTCTACATTGTTTTGTTTTAACATTGTTTTACCTTCCTCGTGGGATTTTTACTACTAACGTGCAAATATTATGAAGTGTGCAATGTTCAACATTTATATAGTAAAATAATGGTTATTGCACAATCAAAAATGAAAACAAAATCCCGAGAACATGTACTCCATCTTAAGGTGTGGTGTTTCTCATACCATCGTTTTTAGTGTGCATATGCTGTTCTCTTTCCTTGTATTCGTTCAGGAAAGCTAGTAAAGAAGGTATGTGAATCGAGAAGAAAAATCTTAAAGCGAGGGGCTAAAATAGTGAAGGCGGGTTTCAACCCCGCCATTGCCACCTCACTCGACTCACTCGTCAACAAAATGCTAAAAGGAGATCTACCAGAGGACGTGGCATACCTCCTCACAGCCTCCCGTCTGCTCGCTCTGACTAAGCCAGGCGGAGGCACACGCCCCATTGCCATCGGCGAGATTATCTACCGCATGGCGGGCAAAACGGCTCTCTACTCCTCGGCTGAGAATGCTCGGAGTCCCTTCCTCCCTCTTCAATTTGGGGTGGCTATCACTGGAGAGGGCGAGGCAATTATTCACGACGTGCGCGCTTATGCCTCGGAGTTCCCGGAGTCGCTGATCGTCCAGATCGACCCCGCCAATGCTTTCAATAGCGTCGATCGTGGGGCGATCGTTGTGGGACTCGCTGGCACATCACTCCAGCACCTCCTGCCATTCGTCAGGTTCTCCTATGGCCGACCCTCGCACCTACTACTCGACGCGGGGCTTGATAGCCCCCCGCTCCTCAGCGAGCGCGGTGTCCACCAGGGGGACCCGCTCGGGCCGCTGCTCTTCGCTGCAGCTATTCACCCCGCCATTCGAGCCACGGCGGATGCCCATTCCTCCGTCCTCTGTTTCGCCTACGCCGACGACATCTCCTTCTTGAGCTACCCTGCCGACTGCTCCTCCGTCTTTGCGCACTTCACAGCCACCCTCGCCAACCCTGGCCTGACACACAACCCCGACAAGTGCGCCGCCTGGTCGGTGATGCGACCAATGCCGTGCCTGCTGCCGCCGGAGGTCCCATTCTGCACAGAGGCGAGCTGGGCCCTTAGGAAGGTGGCAGCCACATCGGCCCTCCGGAGGGGGCTGCCACCTTCCTAAGGGCCCAGCTCGCCTCCATGGTGACTCCCCTACCTGTCCTAGCCATCATGGACCCACAGGTGGGTGTCCTTACTGCTCCACCGGTGCATCTTGTTGTGTGATGTCATCATATGCTATCACATTCTGTCTGCCTCCCATCCCATGTTTTCAACTTGCATGTGTGGTTTGAACGTGTGCAAGAATTCGTGTGTGGTGTGTTATGGAGTTTGAGAATGTATTTTGTGTTATTATATTTGAGCAGGTATTTGTGATGATAGATCTTGAGAAGATATTTATGACGCAACAAGAACCGTTTCAATCGGAGCAAGAACGCTAAAGCTATGAAGATTCAAAGTTCACGAGCTTGCGTTACAATTGCGGCAGTTACAAAGTGAAGTTGTAGGGTGACTCTATATGAAGTTGGGACCATTGCGGGCTGGGGAAATTCGTCACTCTACTGTAGCAGCTGCAAATTGGTTGGGAACAACCAAACTAGGTTGCCAAGGGTGGCCAACTCGGTTGGATTGATTGGGAAGGGACAAATGTCAAAGTTGGGGATCCTATAGGGAGGGAATCTTTGTGCTTATGGGTTTTCCTTGGTTGGGGACTCTCTTGGGACCTTCTTTCTCATCCCTCTCTTCCCTTCCAACCTTTCTCTTGCTCCTCTAATTCCTTGTGAGATTATTGAACCTTGATTGAAGTTTGAGATTGAGTTAAGTTCTTCTCCTACAGCATACCACCCTATGCGTCGAAAAACATAGCGTCGCGAATACTCAACTAATCGATGTGATTCGAATTGGGAACAGTAGCTGAGATTATGACCTACATCATAATAGAGTTTTGCTATTATGAATAAATCAGAGTAATAACAGGTAGTGTAATAAACGAGTCATGATTCGATACAAATAAGGGCCTAGGAATCTAAAGGCACGAACAGAGCTAGCCGAGAACCACGCAAACAGGTTGGGGCGGTCTGGTCGGCGAAAGCCATGGAAGCGCAACGCGTCTAGGTTTGGGTTCGCGAAATGGTTCGGGACCGAAGAAGTTGGCCGAGCCTGGACTTCCGAGAGTCGAGGGCGTACGCACTGTAGTCGAGCCCAGTAAGGAAAAGGGAACTTCCTTACACCACTCCCCCTTCCGGGATGAGACTACCTACATCTGGGACACGTTGTCGGTGTAAAGAGTCCCTGACGACTTTGTGTTCGCCGAGCATAGCTGCGGGGACCCAAAGATCGTCGTCAGTCATGCGATCGACCGCATCAGCGGCTTTTTGCTGAGACTGTCGGAGACTTTCGACGAACTGTGAGATCTTGGTGCCCGATTTTCTATCGGTGGTGATAGAGGGGTTGTCGGGTCTATCCCGTAATTGAGGAAGAACGGGGACTGAGTAGTCGTGGCCGATGGGGCATTGTTGTACGCAAACTCGATCAACGGAAGGGAGTCTTCCCATGGGGCCGGGTCTGTACATGTCATGCGAATCAACTGCTCCATCGTCTGATTGGTGCACTCAGTCTGGCCGTCTGATTGCGGGTGGTACGCCCTGGATAGATGCAGACGTGTGCCGTACTGCTGCCAGGTTTTTGTCCAGAAGTTGGACGTAAACTGGGGTCACGATCGCTGATGATTGGCGAAGGGATGTCGTGTAGCCGTACGATGTTCGTGAGGAACAGTTTCGCCGTCTGCTCGGCAGTAATCATTGTCTTGCAGGCGGCGAAATGGGCCATCTTGGTCAACCGGTCAACAACGATGAGAATCGCGTCATTACCGCTTGAACCAGCTGGCAGACCAGTGACGAAATCCATCGTCACCTGTTGCCGGGGTCGGCTGGGTGGCTCGAGCGGCTGCAGTAATCC